GATGATGACTTTATTATCGTGTCAATTACATCTAGCAGTGGAGAATCCCCACTGCTAATAGGGAACACCTAACTAGAACTATCTAAAAATACTATACAGAAAAGACCTATAAGAGAAATTAAAATTATAAGTTACAAAGATGTAAGCCACTGCATCCATCTAGGATGTTGCCTAGATCTAGCCTCCGTACGTGGGTCTTAAACTGCATGAGATTTATCGCCAATCTTTCTTTATTTGTTAGTATACTCCATAGTCTTAGGCCTAGATATCTAATTGAATGTTTTCCATACCTAACAGTGTTAAATCTAGGTCAATGAAAATCTCTCTGCAGTAAACTGTAAGTGTGGCTATTAGTATAAAACATGTTACAAATAGTCCCTGGGCACAGAAGTTGCTTTGAAAGCAGCTTTTACAAAAATACTACTTACAGTGTGCATTTAAGACATAATTCTACTATACTTATATTTCTACTTTACGTGCATTACATCATCTGTTGACAAATTAATATTTTTATCAGTTTTCACTTGCTTATGATTTTATCCTGATGCGAAAAGTTACATGCAAACTTTTATTTTACTGAAACTTAAGGTAGCTTTGTATGCAACTGAGCAAAATCGGAATTACGGAAACTAACACTAAACCCCAGCCTAACCTAACCTAGAACTTATTGCATTTTTACAAGGCATACAGTTTGTATAGCTCAAGAGAGCAGATTCAAGGGGAGACTCTATTTCAATTACTGTCACTTCCCAAATCCAATCGTGGAGCGTTCCAGAAAGGGAGTATCCGGTCACAATACCACTCATTATAAAGTTGCTGAGACTTTTGCTCTTTCCGGAGGCTTTTTCCGAACAAGGAAATGATTCATTAAAGAAAGTTATGTTTTCCCACTTTTTCGGATATGTACGTGTTAAACAAATTACAAGATGTTAGGAGCATGATATTGTTTTATTCACGAGTTTTAAGCACCATGTCGCACATTAGCTCGAAGACTCGCTCGAACGCGATATGGTATTTAAAACTCTTAAATAAAAACGATATCAGGTTCTTAACATGTAATAATCTGTATTTAAAGTCGTCGTCGTTGGCAATCCCTCGACGTCGAGTAAGATATCAACTTGAATTTTATAACAGTGTTCAGTTTATGAATTCGTTAATGACTAAGCAGTCCGATAATACGTGAGTGTGCAATGTAATAAGTGGGTGGTACTAAGTTGTTGTGCGAGATGTATTTCAATGTAGTGGTTCAATATTTCTATTATAAATCGTGACCGTATCAAGTCTAATTAGCCTCTTTTCCTCCATAACCAAGGCCAATATATTGTATCATTTTTCACTTGAGACTACGTGTCACAAGACCGGAGCGAAAATTTCACTACAAAAATCATATTTCAATTCTCCTTGAAGATATGTAAACCGGGTTACCACTGACAACCAATTTCAACTTTGTGAGAGTCTGCCCTTAACAACTACAAAAATCTTATTGTCGGCTTGTTGAACTCAATTTCTTATATTTCCGCTCTTGTTAGATGACACCGACAGAAAAATAACCCAATATCACTGACTTAAACAGCGAATTGCAGGAACTTTGTCTTAGTTTGCTGTAACTATTTTTGAGACGATTGCACGTTTTATTTTTCTCCATAGAGCCATCACAATGAGGTTTCTTTTCGGAGAAAATCTAAAGCGAGGAATCGTTTTCAACGCAATTTTTCATTCCGGATTGATATTCATCGGAATCGTAATACTACAGGCTTGGCCGAATGAAGGCATCTCACAGTCAAGTACGTATAATCATAAGATACCATTGTGCAAGAAGCAATAATGTCCAAATTTTTGCCATAAAAAAGTTCCTATCAAACGTTTTTTCATTCAGTATGTGTACGTCAGTTCTGTACTTTTAATCCATCGCTCACTCAGAAACATTGTCCATGAACACTTTTTCACGTAACGTTTAATATTATAGAAGATAAATTGGATTTAAGTTAAAGCACTGTCTACTATAATCTTTCTGATTGTTTCTCAGAATGTTGATCTCAGCCGTAATAAACTGCGATCACATGAAGATTAATTAGATCGTTTTCGTCTACAGCCTAGGCCAAAACAGCATTATTTTCCACTTGGGACCAAATCTCATGGGACCTGAGCAAACGTCTAACTGAAAGATCCCATGA